CTGAGGAAAGTTGAACGTCAGACTTCGATACATCTTACGAAATAATGCAACAACTTGTATCTGTCCATAAGGAAATAATCTAGGATTTACATGTCGACAACATCGTGTCATGACCTATATTAAAAAAAAAATCAGTGAATTTGAATTTAGCGTCGGTCACATTCGATTGGTTAATCACGGCAACGCTCAAAAGCCAATTTCTTTAAAAAAAAAATGTATTGTGCTTTTGAAATTACATTAATCTTTCACTCGCAAGTAGTTTAATTTTTCACATGTTTTTGTTTTAATATCTAAATATTTAATAAATAATGTTAGCTCTACTCTATATTGAGCCTTCTTTTTAATTAAATGTTACGTACAGTAGAATTATACTTCATTTGTTCTAATTTTACCTATATATATATATATATATATATATATATATATATATGAAGAAATATAGTCTTAAGGTGTGCTATATTTATGGGATAAAGTGCTCAATATCAGAGATAGAGCGTGTGTAAATATAAAAGTGATCACTGAAGTCAACACTTAGAAGCGACAGGCTGTTTCATGCTAGACGCAATCAATCGTCAAGCCACCTGACATATATATATATATATATAAATATATATATATATATATATATATATATATATATTTTATTGCATATATATATATATATATATATATATATATATATATATATATATATATATATATATATATATATAGTGCTGTTCGATAAAAGTGACTCACCTTTTTACTAAATGTTCTCTTCTCCGAAGAAACTAAAGTTGAGCTAAATTCAAAGGATAAGCGATCTAAAATCCGAAGAAGCTTTGAAAGCTCTTTGAATTTAGCAGTAAGTACTGTCAAGCATCCATTCAGTATAATGTTCTGGGGATGCTTTTCTTTTCATGGAACTGGTTTCTTAAAACCTATTGAAAAGACCCTCAGGAGCGTGCAGTACAAGAGAATTTTAAAAATCTTGTCTGCTCCTTCTGCTGAAAGGGTGCAAATCGACCCCACCAAGCTCATTTTTATGCAGGATAATGCTCCCTGTCACAAATCACAATTGATGAAGGAATACTTTGATGAGAAGCAGGTGAGTGTTATGACATGGCCGCCCCAATCTCCTGACCTCAACCCTATAGAAATCTTATGGAGCATTATAAAGTACAGGCTCTCGAGAAAGCAGTTGAGCAACAAAGAGGATTTGATTGTGAATTTCATATCCGAATGGAATTCAGTTCTTGGAGATGAGATTTGCCAGAACCTAATCAAGTCAATGCCAAAAAGGGTTGAAAAGGTTATTCAAGAGGAAGCGAAGATAGAGGAGGTGATATCGCTTTCATGCGTTTAACGTCTGCTTTAGTAAAATGAAAAACTTCGTCAATTTTAAATCTTATCTTTTATACATTATTACATCTTTAAATAATGGCTTGTATTAAAACCAGATTATTATTGCAATATTTGTTAAGCTCAAATTTTTAACGATGGAACTGGGTAATTTCTAAGGGTAATTTATAGATGTGGAACTTGCAAAGAGCTTATTCAATCATTAACGTAAAAATTATGATTGATCAGAAAATTCAAACAAGTAGACCATGACACTTCTATTTCTAGTTAGTTCAAATTTTACGACTGCATCTTTATGACTTTCTACTAAACCATATTTCCCACAATTCTTTGAAATCACTACGCGAGGAAAATTATTTTCTGTCAGTTTTGCTTTTATATCAGGCAACAAATTTCTACATGAAATTTTCGCTATCAATAAGTGCGAGCATTTGCTTTTCCTCTCCTTTATATATTTATAATTAAGTAATTAATCGAGTCTAGAAGAAACCTCAACAGAATGCATAAAGCCGTTTCGTTCAATATTTGGGAGTCATCAGCAGTGCGCATCCACTACCGAGAATTGAAACCCGAACATTTGGTATGCCGTTTGCCTCCTATTCGGCTTTCAATTCTCCTCTTCTCCTCTATGGAGTGGTCTTACTCGGGAGAGATATTTGCGAAGTGTCGTCCATCTTTCGAAAGTTGTCCTGATGTTATATGGACCGCAGATCCTTTGTATTTTCTCTGATAACCCCTTCACATAAGGCAGGCAGACTGTTTTCTGTTTGTTGTTGTCCTCCTCTTGTACCCGCCTATCCCGGTTTTGTGGGGCTGCTGGCAATGTACCCAGGGTAGTTGTTACGTTGTAGGGTACTACTTATACTGACCAATTCTTTATCTAATGTCTCTGAGTCGCCACTTATGATTTTTGTTCGATGTTGTAAGCAGCGGACGATCCCTTTCTTTACGCCGTATGGATTGTGAGAGTTGAAATTGAGGTAATGTTTGGCTTTTTGTTGTGTCTATCTGAAAATTAAATTTTAATTTGTAAAGTGAAAACTGCACGAATATGCTTATATCATACAATTAAAAAATCGTACAGTACATAAATTAAGGGTTTTTCATTTCACAACTCGAAAATTAATTTACCGATAAACACAACCAATTTATCATACTTATTATAAAACCCAGGTTGTGTGTGTGTATCTGTTCGTTTATATATGGGATCGGATTTCCTACATTTTTCAACTGATTTCAACAAAACTTCACAGGACTACGTAAAATTACCTTGCGGTGGTTCTGACAGCGCCAAAAATTGGAAAACACAATTGTTTTAGCACGAAATCAATTTGCAAACAGGATTAAGAGGCATCTCTGTCGCGAGAATGAAAGGGGGACAACTCATATCGAGTTATACTTATTATAAAACCCAGGTTGTGTGTGTGTGTGTGTGTTCGTTTATATATGGGATCGGATTTCCTACATTTTTCAACCGATTTCAGCAAAACTTCACTTTTTTTGGCAGATAGTGTTTCTTGTTGTCTTGCACACTTTTTTCTTTATTTTTACATTCAGAATGCTTTAAAAATTCCATTTACAAGACAATTGTTTATAATAAAATTCTATTCAATCTGTAGACTCATAACGATTGAAAACAATGTTTTTGTTTGAGTTTGGGTTTGACCAATTCGTAAAATAAAAAAACAAAAAAAAACAAAAAAACAATAAACAAAAAAATAAATAATAATTAAGACATGCGTGTCCGTCAACCTTAAACAATAATCTTTGTCAATATTATTTTTCAGTCTATATGATGGTCGATACTTGATCTATCTCTTACTGTTACATCCCCGGGCAACGCCGGGCTCTACTGCTAGTCTTAGATAAAACATCACCCTGAAGACATTTTGCTAATGTCGAAAGAATTCGAAATAAATGTATATGCATCTATACAGTAACTTTCTATTTTCCTTTAATAAACTTATTAAGATTGTTCGTGAATATCAGAGGATCATATTAAAAATAAGTAGAGAAACGTGTCTAAGTTATTTAATCAGACATCTCTCTCTCTCTCTCTCTCTCTCTCTCTCTCTCTCTCTGTATATATATATATATATATATATATTTATAACGGAGAGGTTATACCTATTACAACAAGAGAAATGTGTATATTTAAAGAGAAGCGAGCAACCGCAAACGTTTATGGTTTTAATGTGTATTATTTAAATATATATTATACTTTATTTTCAACATTTTTGTGAAAATATGGAAAAAATTGGAAATATATTTAAATATAAAAATATGAAAAATAAATTATAATATATATTAAAAAATCCACATTACAATCAAAAACTTTTGCCGTTTCTCTCTTCTCTTTTATCTATCTATCTATCTATCTATCTATCTATCTCTCTCTCTCTCTCTCTCTATATATATATATATATATATATATATATATATATATATATATAATGAATTGAAGGGGAAAGATTATACTGAATCAGTTGTTAGATCTTCTGCTAGGAAAAAGTTGTTTTTCTTACCAGAATCTACCATACACATGTATATGTATGAAGTAAAAAGGAAAACGCGTTACTTCTAATGTGGGCATTTGCAAGGAAAAAAACGAAATGAATTTATTGAAACAATGTATCTATAAACAAGAAACTAATTGTAGTCACCATCTAGAATTTAGAAAACCTATTGTATATTCATATGGTCAACTGAAAAATTAATGCTAAAATGACTGCAAAAATTATTGAAAAAGTCCACAGTGGACGAAACGCGTCGGCTAAAACTAGTTTTCCTATTGTCTTTTTCTACAGATTAATTCTGAGAAATTTTTACCCATTTATAATTCTACCGATCGCCAATCTATTAAGTACTGCTAACACATCTGGTCTTGTGCTTCTGGTGTGTATTTAGATATTCTTGATAAATTAAAAAGAAAATATGCAATGTTATTGGTGCTGACTAGGCATAGCGGCTTCTGTCACTTTACCATTGGCGTAACTTAACTTCACCGTGACACTTCTATAAAGATATTTATGATAATTGTTCTGATGAGCTTTCCTTTTTGGTACCTAGACTTTATGAATTTAAGCTCAGTACTCGATTGGTGGGATCATTTTACAGTTGAAATTGTTAAATTTAATCGTACATTCCAAGCTAAGCGCTTCTCTTTTATGGAACTCTCCTCCGGGTTCCTGCTTTCCAATCAACATCGATCTTCAAAAATGTAATGTCAACATAAAACGTTATCTTCCGTTTCCGTAATTCCTGTTCTGTTATTGTTTTTTTAGTAATGTTTTCTTTTTCTATATTTTCTCAGACCCAGTAACCCTTGAGTCTTAGTGGCTTTATTGCCTTGCTTGGTGTGGTTGATTGATTCGTTTTCTACGGATTACCAAGCATTTGCATGTTATTTACAGCCGGAAATTATTTTTAGATTAAAAGATTTTTTTTTTTTACTTTTTGGAGACAATAATAATTTTGACGATACAAATTTCCAACTCTTACTAATTAACCCATAGTTCGGTGGAAAAGACATGCATTCGTACCTTTCCCAAATGTATTTGCGTGTAAGAGAATATAAAGGACCCAATTGGAATTGGAAATCAGCTTGCCGATAAACAATTTTGAGTCGTTATCCATTGCACTAAACGCATATCCATGGTTACAGTACCTGGTATTCCCAAGCGGTCACCTATTTACGTACAAACCAAGCTCGGCGTTGCTTAACTTCGGCTATCGTACGGGAAATGGTGTTTCAATGTGATGTGGTCTGTTTGAAAAAAATAAAGGCTGTGAACATAGGAATCAACAATTTCTGGTGACTCTATGGTACCATTCCCCAGGATTTATTTCTCTCTCGGGAGTTTATTGTCGAGCATCTGAGCTGGGGGGGGGGGAATTTAACCACGGTACTGCCGATGAACCCACTTTAAAAACCTCAACCTTATGTCACTTCTGGCTGTGCGTGGACGTACTGTTAAATATAAGTCGCTGAGACTAACGCTTAAGCAAAGACTGAGAATTTTTAAAGATTAATTTCAATTTTAACATGACTTGCAAGTTTTGATTGCTTAACAAGGATCGTCTTTGTTGAATATTTTCATATATATATATATATATATATATATATATATATATATATATATATATATATATATATGATGCATGTTTCATTAAATAATATAGACAAGTTTTGTCTATTTATTTTATGAAAATTCTTTTCATATCCACTGACTAGCATAATAGGATTATCATTAAAAAAAAGAAAGAAAATCACCATATTGATACATATTTTTTAATCCTATCTAAGCTTTCGGCTTACATAAGCCATTATCAAAGAGGACAATTACATTACAATATATTAAACAATACACGGACAAGATTTCCAAGCAACGACAAACGCGTGCATATGAGACGCTGGAAACAAAAATCGCACCGCAGTTGATGACGTCACACATGACCACGCGAGATTGAAAACGAGAAATATTATGTATGGGAAGTCATTGGTATAAGACAATGGCTTCTGTTATCAGCTATAGGCATTTAAGAATATTTGTGAATATTTCATAGTTTATTTTGTTCAGGTTAGGTTTCAACTGTTTTATGTATATAGCTTCAAGAATACACACACACACACATATATATATATATATATATATATATATGTGTGTGTGTGTGTGTGTGTGTGTGTGTGTGTGTGTGTGTGTGTTTGTTTGTGTGTATGTATGTATATCTTCTATTGATACCCCAGGAGTTTTGCATTGGATTCATATCTGGAGATGTTGGTGAACATTCCATTAACTTGGTTTCTTTGAAATTGCTTTGGCAAGGTGGTCAATAGTCAGCTTTGCAGAATGTGAAAGAACATTGTCTTTTATGAATATGTTATTTTGCTTAAAGAATCCTGGTTGAAATCTGTAGAACTTCACAAACCTCATGTCCAAGAATTTTTTTTGATACCATTATCAACTTGGAAAGGACTTATAATATTCTTGCCTTCTATATCAATTCAAAATATCCACATCCACCCTGTAATTCTTGCTTGCTGACTGATTCCACAAAGGGCATTCAATTTCTAACGCAATGATGAGGTTCTACCAAAGTAGAGTCGTCATTAAAAATTAATTGAATCTATTTTTTTAGTCCTATTTACAGGTTTACCGTCGTATTTACATAAAAGTGGTACTTACGTTCTTTATGCTCGGGCTAGCGTCCTTATTTTTGTTATCATTTCAACAAAACTGAGGTAATAGTTCGAATGTAAATAGTGTAAACAATGATAACTTCTCATCCACGAAATTCAGACAGATTTAAAGATGGTTGATTGATTGCTATCTTTTTAGTAGAATCAGATATTATAAGCTGACATTCCCCTTACATTTTTATTATATTCATATATTGTTGTGGGCGGTGTCATGATTAGTAAGTTTGTCTCGCTAGAGAAATTACAACAGATCGGTGAGTTCGATCCTAACTGGGTACTCCATAATTTCAGTCTTGTTCCGCATCTAAGCTATGCTTGGAAAATCACTAAATATATTGTTGTTATTATCTCAACAGAGATGAGGGATTATTCCGACTTTAAATAGTGTAAATAATGATAACACCTCATTCAATAAATTCAGATAAGTTTAAAGATGGTAGCCTGGTTGCTAATGGCATTAGCAAATATTTTCAATATTCTGGTCCTTTTTCTCTCTCTTACATTCGCAACATGTTTCGAACCATTTCCTATCCAAATTATTAGCTGATTATATATATATGTATATATATATATATATATATATATATATATATTATTTTTCTCATAAATGTTCGTACCATTTTGACATTCTTATAACCATTTTTTAAGTTATTCTAAAAATGTTTTCATCTTTCTTTTTTATTTTTCAATCTTATTGCGATTTCTAAATGTCTGTTCCTGTCACAAACTAATTTTACGATATCGTGTTTCGTATATGTTTCTTCCGACCCATACTACTATTTGTCTATATCAAATTAAATGATGAATATCACTAATTATACGAGTATGTATTATATATATATATATATATATATATATATATATATATATATATATATATATATACACACATTCAATATCATCACTTGATAAGACACCAAAGTGTTGAAACAAAATGCCTACTTTGTAGTGATTTTATAACATATTTATGTTATAATTTTCGAATAAATAATTATACACACACACACACACACACACACACACACACACACACACACACACACACACACATATATATATATATATATTATTATTATTATAAATTAACTGATATAATATGTTTTTTCGCTACACAGTTCTAACCATGTTTTAAAAATGGAAGCTAAAAACTTCGAATTTAATTTTGTAATTAAATTAAAGACAGCAGTTCCATTTCATCCTCAAGCGAATTTTGGAGTAACTTATTTTTAAATTTACTGAGTTTTAAAGGTACGGCAAAATGCATAATTCAACTGTTTCCAAGGATACAGAGAAATACACTCATCCAGACAAGGGGTGGTTGCGTGTTCATTTTCATTAACTTTTGTTGTATCAGTTATTAGTTACGTTTGAAGAAGGGGTTACGTTTAGGTAGGGGGTAGGGATGTATTCTTCAACGAATTCTGACATCCGTTGAATGCATGTCGTCTGGATTTAAAAAAAAAATTATTGTTAACGGCAAAAAATTCTTACAGCATTTTTCCATTTGTATACTTAAAAGATTTTATATATATATATATATATATATATATATATATATATATATATATATAAAAATTAACTGATTTAAAATATGGTTTCTTCGCTACACAGGAATTACCATGTTTCTAAAACCGAAGCCAAAAAACTTCAAATTTTAATTATATAATTAAATTAAAAGCATTAGTTCTGTTTCGTCATCAATATTTATAATATGATGTACAAACTTTCTGTCACCAGTTAGTGTAAATATCTTTTTAATAGAATTAGATATTATAAGCTTAAATTCACTTAGCATTTTTGTCACATAAATATTTCCTGAAGATCTCTGGGCCCTTCTTACAAATAGGGGTCATGTGGGTATGTAAAAGAAAATAGAAGGTCAAATGAAGGAGAAAGAGAAAAATGGAATGTGTTAGTGTGTATAAGGAGGAAGGTATTCTGTTGGAGAGCAAAACTGTTTTTCTTTTCCTGATTAGAATTTTATTTACATATGTTTGCCTTCTTTTTTTTTTCCTCCGCTAATTTTATAAATTATCCTGTTTTACACAAAGGAATTCAGATAATTTAAATATGTAGAGAGAATCCACGAAAAATAAGAGAAACGCAAGAGAAGAAGACATTTAGAATAAAAGTAATTACTCTGAGAAAAAAAAAAAGAAAGAAAAAAAAAGAAAAAAAAAGAAAATAACAAGTATTAACCAAAGACTTTCTCCTTTCATGGCCGACAAGGGTCGATAATGATACTTAATAGTTTTTGCTTTCTTAATTATTCATGTAGCCCGCGAATATTTTGGGCTCCTTTTTTTTTACAGTTAATCATCGATTCCTTATTTTTATTGATATCTTCGGGTATCTACATGCCAAATGTCAACTATTATCAAGAATTATATTTTATATCCACTGAATATTTTATTGGAATATATAGATAAAACAAAGGACATAACAGAAAAACACACACAGATACACCCAAACACATAGACAAACATATATATATACATATGTATTAGAGTGTGTATATACATAAAGTCATAATATAATTTATATAGACACAAATATATATGAATATTTACATATATATATATATGTATATTTATATGTATATATTTGCATATATATATATATATATGTATATTATATATATATATATATATGCATTCAAATATATAAAAACAAAACAGATATATACATATAGTTATATATATATATATATATATATATATATATATATATATATGCATTCAAATACGATGTAATGTGTTCATAGTTAATAACAGTTGGTTTTTATATGTTCGTCTATGTTTTATATTATCTTTTCATATATATATATATATATATATATATATATATATTATATATCCTCCTCTCTCTCTCTCTCTCTCTATATATATATATATATATATATATATATATATATATATGCAGTGGTTAAGGTAGCACACAGATGTTCATATATATATATATGTGTGTGTCTGAGTATAATCCTCCTTCTTGTCTTGCATATATATGTTTACACACCCCAAACTTAGATATATATATATATATATATATATATATATATATATATATATATATATATATATATATATATATATATATATATTGTATATAGAAACTCCTACATGTGTATATCAATATACCAAAAAAAGTATTCAGTTCTTGACAGCACTTTTTTTATTGCTTTAAAGACATTAATTCATTTACCTCAAATTTTTTTCCAAAATTCTCGAATATACCGTTTAACAAAGGCGACCTTCTCGGCAGTAGCATCAAGTTTAAATATCTATTTGAATATTTTTTTTTGTTTCTGACATGGAAAATATTATTAATTATATTTAAAGAGCAGCATTAAAAAAAAACTTCATTACTTAAAAGAAGGCACTTTTTTTAAGCTTCTTTTATGGAGGCTTTGTTATTTATTTGATAGAAATTGATACTATTGCAGTGAGGAAATTTCTAATTTTATTAGTTTGAAAAGATTTTCATTTTGTTTCTTTTCATCCATCGGCCCTCCGAAAATGCCTCGGATGATTGTCCGTCCGAACAATGAATCTCAAATAACCTCCACATTCTGCATTTTCTGCAAACTCATATATATAAAAGATCTATTTGCTTAATTGTTGCCAAACTGTGTTAAAAATTAATGTTTTCTATGAGCTACATATATATATAGATATATATATATATATATATATATATATATAGATAGATAGATAGATAGATAGATAGATAATGAATAGAATGAGATAGATAGATAGATAGATAGATAGATAGACAGATAGATAGACAGATAATGAACGGAATGAGATAGATAGAATAGATAGATGAGATAGATAGATAGATAGATAGACAGATAATGAACGGAATGATGATAGATATATAGATAGATAGATAGATAGATAGATAGATAGATAATGAATAGAATGAATAGATGAGATAGATAGATAGATAGATAGATAGATAGATATTAGATAGACAGATAATGAACGGAATAGATATAATGTTTAGATAGATAGATAGATAGAATAATAGATAGATAATGAACGGAATGAGATAGATAGATAGATATAGATATAGATAATG